GCTGATTGGGGGCGGCTCGGCAAAGGAAAGAGAGGTCGTCTCGACGACCAGCTCCGGGTGCGGCTGCCCACGGGCAAAGTGGCATGGAGCATAGGTCGCAAACGTCTCCTCCGACTCTTCATCCTCGACCTCGGCCTCGTCCCTGGTCGGTCTGCCGGCGTCGGCGCCGTCTGGCGCCGGCTGTGGCGCCCCGCCGTCGTCAGTGTCCGCCGCGGCCGCGAAGCGCTGCCGCACTGCCTCCGCCGAGTCCACCTGCCGGCCGGCGGCTTGGGCACGCTGCGCAGCCTCGCGCTTTCGCTTCGCCTGCGCGCGCTTGCGAACCCACTCTGCCGAGCCGTCGGCGAGGCAGTGTTCGTCCCAAAGCTTGCACTCGCTCGCAGGCCCGTCGCAGACGTAGCAGAAGCACTTGGCACAGCACTCAGCACACGACTGCGCTGTCGCCGGCCGCGGCCACGGGTGGACGAGGCAGTCGTGCCGCATGTGCGGCATGTCGCGGAGAGGGTTCGTGCCGGTCGAGCCGGTGAACTCAACGTCGTCGTCGAGATCGGCCATGCTGCTGCTGCTGGAGGAGCTCCGATACTGCAGCCCAGTGGCGCGAAACGGCATCAAGTTTGTTTTTCGAGGATCGCGACATTCCAGAACCCAGTGTTTGAGGCGGGATTGCAACCAGTCTTCGCGTGCCGCCTGTCGTTCGCTCGGGCGCCTTGGGCGTCGGGGTGGCGAGCAGGGGACGCAGCTCTGAGCGCCCAGCGACGCGTGCCGGATGGAGTCCGTCCGGCCGCGGGTGACTAGGGAAGTTCGCTCAGGATGTGTGGCAGCCGCCCCGTTGGCTGAGTGTCTTGTCTTGTGGTTCTGTGTGTCGCTCCTGTGTGACCGTCATCGCCCGTCCTTGCGTCCACCCATACCGCGTTGGTGTCCCAGTCGTTGGTCGGACTGTGATCTGTGTTTCGCCTTCCTATCTATCTATCTATTTGAGTCCGTTATAAAGCTCTCTTCCTCCAGGGGGTGGCGTGAAATTCTGGGCCCCACACCTGTGATATGTTGGTTGTGGTTGTCTGGCGCACCGCGGGCGAAGAATTTTTTAAGAAAGGAAATTCTTTCTGTTCACATCCACAATCAATCAGAACCGCACTCACAGAGAGAGCTCCTGACGAGCGAGCACGCGCGGGCGGCGGACTGACGACACTTAGGAGCGGCTAGGGCCTTTGGGCAGCAGCCGCCCGGGGCAAACACATTTTTGGCCTTCTTGGCCTTCGTTCGCGCTTCAAGAAAGAATTTTACAACCAAACTCTCTCACACGACACTAGGGTCTAGGCACGGGACTGGCGCGCACTGGCACTAACACACGTACACCACGGGAGCCGCCTAAGCGACTCCTGCGAGGACGGCGAGGCACTTAGCTCCGTGCACTGGCGAC